AATGAGACTCCAACTCAAAAAAAAAAAAAAAAAAAATTTAAAAGAGGAGTGGGTGGGGTAAGGCCTCCAGGCTGGGCTATAGTTCCACACAGGTGGGATGCTGTCTTGCAGGCACTGAAGTGACTAGGGTGGTGGCAAAGGATGCGGATGCTCCCGACTCTCCCAATTCCCACATTGTGTATCAGCTCCTGAGTCCTGAGCCTGAGGAAGGGGCAGAGGGGAGAACCTTCGAGCTGGACCCCACTTCAGGCAGTGTGTCACTGGGGATTGCTCCACTCCAAGCTGGCCAGGACATCCTGCTTCAGGTGCTGGCCATGGACCTGGCAGGAGCAGAGGGTGGTGAGTGCCCTGATTGGTGGCCCAGGTTCCTGCCCCTTTTGTTCCTACCATGATCTCATCACCGTGCCCTTCCCTGCCTTAGGCCTCAGCAGCATGTGTGAAGTCACAATCACAGTTACAGATATCAATGATCACGCCCCTGAGTTCACCACTTCACAGGTAAGCAGACACAGGGGAAGGGACCTCGGGAAGGGTGCCGGTGGGGGGCTCATCACCCCTCCCTACCTCTCCAGATTGGGCCTATAAGCCTCCCTGAGGATGTGGAGCCCGGGACTCTGGTGGCCACACTCACAGCCACTGATGCCGACCTTGAGCCTGCCTTCCGCCTCATGGACTTTGCCATTGAGAAGGGGAATATGGAAGGGATCTTTGGCCTGGATTGGGAGCCAGATTCTGGTCATGTCCAACTTCGACTCCGCAAGGTAAGGGTCAGGGCGGATGCAAAAGGGACACACATGTGCACACGTTCATGCACATTGTGCCATGCCTGACCCGCACAGTGACCCAGACCTCACTGGTTCCAGAATCTCAGCTATGAAGCAGCTCCAAGTCACGAGGTGGTGGTGGTGGTGCAAAACGTGGCGGAGCTGGTGGGGCCAGGCCCAGGCCCTGGAGCCACAGCCACGGTGACTGTGCTGGTGGAAAGGATGATACCACCCCCCAAGTTGGACCAGGAGAGCTATGAGACCAGTGTCCCGGTTAGCACCCCAGCAGGCTCCCTCCTGCTGACTGTCCAGGCCTCAGAACCCATGAACAGAACTCTCAGGTGAGTGAAAACCCAGTTCCTTATCTGAGCTGGATATCTCCTGCTCCCCAGAGATGACCCCAGGGCCTCAGAGGGGACTCACATGGTCTATGACCTGGAATATTTCTCAAACTATGGCTAATGCCAAGGTTGTGACTCCTGGCAGGATCAGCACTAAAAGGCCTGGACGGGGCATGGAGGAGAATGTTTGGACCCCATGAGAGCTCAGATTATGCCTCACCATTCAGAGGCAGGACCAGGCCCTCCTCCCAACACTTCCCCTTCAATCCAGATTGAAATACAGACAAGGTTGTTCTGGGCTCTGACCCCTTGGCAGGATGACCTGGAACTAGTGAAGTTGAATCAGGCCCCCAGGCTCTGAAAGTCCCTTCCCCACTGATATTGTTCAGACCCCTACACTACCACAGCAACAAGTCTTGAAGCTGTGGAGACAGCTGGGGAGACAGACCGGGCACCCCAGGTACTGGTGCTGCCACTGAGTCACAGAGAGGTTGTGGAATTTGAGCAAGTCCATGATTCTGAGGGATTCTGGACAAGACCCCATATATAGTCCGAGTGCCTCCCTGCCCCCTCTTCCTTTGTCTGGGCTTCAGATTCTCCCTAGTCAATGACTCAGAGGGCTGGCTCTGCATCGAGAAGGTCTCTGGGGAGGTGCACACGGCCCAGTCCCTGCAGGGTGCCCGGCCTGGGGACACGTACACAGTGCTGGTGGAGGCCCAGGATGCAGGTATGAGGGGTTCAGTAGAAACAATGTGCCTGTCTGCCCCCTGGGCTGGGCCCCCACTCAGCATTCCTGAGCTCAGTCCCATAGGTGAGCTAGGTACCGTGTCAGGGGTGGGGGTGTGAAGTCCCTATGAATCATCTCATCTTGCTTTTCTCTGGGAGGGAGACACAGTATCAGCCCCCATGTCAGTGTTGCTCCCCAACACACACACACACACACACACACACACACACACACACACACACACGCTCAAGCTCAGTCCAGCACAAGAGAGGAATGGGTGATTCATAACAGCAAAGACATGGAACCAACCTAGGCGACCAACACTGGACTGGATAAAGAAAATGTGGTACATATACACTATGGAATACTCTGCAGCCATAAAAAGAACAAAATCATGTCCTTTGCAGCAACATGGATGCAGTTGGAGGTCATTATTCTAAGTGAACTAAGACAGAAACAGAAAACCAATACTATATGTTCGCACTTACAAGTGCGAACACACTGGTACACATTGGTATAAAGATGAGAGTAACAGACGCTGGGACTCCCAAAGCGGTAGGCAGCGGTAGGAGTTTCTGAGAGGGAGACAAACCTCAGACAGACAGATGGGTAGGACTGAGTTTCTTCCCTGGGGCCCTTGCCATCATGCTGCCAGCCTCAGGCAGGAGATGGGGACAAGGAACTGGATCCAGTGTCCTTCTCTGAGAATGGATCTACCCCCAGATGGGCAGGTCTGACCTCTGCCTCCCCTCTCTGATCACCCTCTTAGCTTGACACTCAATATCTCCCAACCCCATCCCTTAGCCCCTGGACGGCCTCTCATGGGACTGGCCAGGCAGAGGTGGGTACAGGGCTGGGAAGGTGAAAGCGCCAGGGCTGCATCTGGGACAGGAGTACTGGGAGATGAGCTGAATCTGGGGCCAGAGAGAGGCCTCGGAATACCACTCTTACAGGATGAGGAGTTGGCCTGGGGTGGACCGGTCAGGGAGTCAGATTTCAGCTCCAAGCTGGGCTGTGGCACCAGGCAGACCTAGAAGGGAGAGCTCTCCACAGTCAGGGCATTTCCGCATTGGCGTGGGGATGGTGATGGATGGAGAAAAGAGTAGAGGAAGGATGGCAAGGGAGTCAGCAGGGTGGGACTCATGGGCTGTGGGGGGAGGGACCATCCTGGGGACTCTGGAGCTCACTCCCACCCTGACAATGCCCGGGCCAGCTCAGCGCTGCCTTCTCTGCAGATGAGCCGAGACTAAGCACCTCTGCTACTCTCGTGATCCACTTCCTGAAGGCCTCTCCTGCTCCAGCCCTGACTCTGGCCCCTGTGCTCTCGCGACATCTCTGTACACCCCGCCAGGACCATGGTGTGATTGTCAGTGGACGCAGTGAGGACCCTGACCTGGCCAGTGGGCATGGTCCCTACAGTTTTGCCCTTGGTCCCAACCCCACAGTGCAGCGGGATTGGCGCCTCCAGCCTCTTAATGGTGTGTGGTGGGGGAAGGGAGGCAGACTGCAGCCAAGGCAGGGAGGAGATGTTACTTGGACATGAGATACCCTTCCACCCTGGGGGTGGGGCTGGGCCTAGGGATAGCAGCCCCAGAGTGCCTGTCCAGGCTGGTGATCCTGATCATTGCCTTCTGTCCCAACAGGTTCCCATGCCTACCTCACACTGGCCCTGCATTGGGTGGAGCCACGTGAACACAGAGTCCCTGTGGTGGTCAGCCACAATGCCCAGACATGGCAACTCCTGGTTCGAGGTGAGGCTGCGACTCGGGTGCAGCCAAGGCTAGCAGTTCCTGAGGGAATCATGGGAATGCAGGGGCGGGGGGCTGGGTACACAAGCATGCAGGCTCACACAGTGCATATGCCTGTGTACACTTGTACATAAGTGGCCAGGCACTGCACAAAGGAGCATGTGGCTCCACGCATATCGGTCAGCTGACTGGACGGGTGGCCTTGAGCAGCTGGAGTGCTCTCCCCTCCAACCTTTACCTTCCTCTCCCCTTCTGCCAGTGATCGTGTGTCGCTGCAATAAGGAGGGACAGTGCATGCGCAAGGTGGGCCGTATGAAGGGCATGCCCACGAAACTGTCGGCAGTGGGCATCCTCGTGGGCACTCTGGCAGCGATAGGTAATGGGGGCTGGACTCCTGCATGGGGAGGATGATGGTTGGAGCCACAGTCCTCCGAATAAAACTCTTGTCCCCATAGTGCCCCCGAGTCTGGAAAAGGAGCCCCTCCAAATTTCCTAGCCAATTATGCTGTTGCCCATCACCATAATCATTGTCATCATCATTGGTAACAGCACTTACTGCTACTTTACTGCTCACTGTGTCAGGCCCTGTGCTAAGTACTTTACGTGGACTATTGCACGAAATCCTTTCCACACCCTGTGAGGTAGGTCATAGTATCTTCCCATTTTATAGATAAGGTTGCTGAGGTTCAGAGAGGTTAAGTGACTTATCCAAGGTTACACAGCCAGGTTGTGATAGAGCCCAGGTCTGTCTAATTCCTTCACTTTAAGCCACCCTCTGCACTCCTTTTATTTCCTTAATCTCTGAAATGTCTTCTTTGCTAGTTTGCTTTGCTGGTTGTAACACAGTACAACTATGTACCTTTCTCTCTTGGAGGTCCACTGAAACAACTCATTGGCTCCCACATAGCCTCCCAAATGAACCCCCAAAGAAGGGAGCTTTGGAGGCTAGAATGTGCTGGGGCAGCCTTGGGGGTTGAGGGCTTGGTAAGGGCTAAGGGGCTAAGCAGTCAAGCTTCCCTAGGCACCAGAACCGCAGAGTCCTCCCCAGCCCAGCCTCAGGGAGATTGTCTAGGAAACCATCTTTTTATTAAGCCAATGCTAATTGCAGGGAGTCCCTCATAACTAACAAATTCCACAGCCCCTTCTGAAGGCTGATCCCTCCCTCTTGGGCCCACTCCTCAGGCTTCTTCCTCATCCTCATCTTCACCCACCTGGCTCTAGCCAGGAAGAAGCACCTGGATCAGCCAGCTGACAGTGTGCCCCTGAAGACAACCGTCTGAGTGGTCCAGGAAGCCCCAGTGGGGAGCTTGGCCTCTGGCTTCATCTGAGTCCCTCGGGAGAGGGCCTAGCACCTGAGATCCAACAGGGGCCAGAATAGAGTGGAAGCCCTTCTACCTGTGCTGGAGTGAAGGCATCATCACCAGACATGTCCCCAGAGCCTGAACACTGACTTGATGGACTGCCTGTTGGGTGCTCCAAATGGCAGCACGTTTATCCAGTAATAAAGCCTCAGGGAGCTGGGCAGGGCTGTCAAGATTGCTATGCCTGTGTCCTAGTGTCCATGTGCGTGTGTGTGTGTGTGTGTGTGTGTGTGCACGCACCTGCCTCTTCATACCTTCCCTATCTCCTGCCGCACAGAAAGGGTCTGGGGCTTGAGGGACAAGACTGAGGTCCCCTGTGGGGAAGGATGTGGGGCGTCATATGGGCTGTTTGTGAGATCTTGAGGCTACAGCAATGTGGGTCATTTCCTAGGGCATCCAGAACACACCAGCTACAGACCTATGGATGGATTACTCTATGTGGGTAGTGGTTGAGGAAGGATGTCTTTGAGGGTGTCATTTCTGTTTCTGTGTTTTCCTGGATGTCATCTTTTTTAAATCTTTGTCTTGTTCCAGTTACTTGGAAGACTGAGGTGGAAGAAGAGTGAGACTCTAACTCAAACAAAACAAAACAAACAACCAAACAAACAAAAAATAAAGTCATTTCACTCTGTCATCCAGGCTGGAGTGCAGTGGCATGATCATAGCTCACCACAGCCTCAACCACCTGGGCTCAGGCAATCCTTCTGCCTTGGCCTCCAGAGTAGTGGGACTATAGGCACACGCCACCACACCTGGCTAATTTTTGTATTTATTATAGAGATGAGGTCTCGCCAAGTTGCCCAGGCTGGTCTCGAACCCGTGGGCTTAGGCAATCTTCTCCCCTTGGCCTCCCAAAGTACTGGGATTATAGGCATGAACAACCGCACCTGGCTTTGTTAATTCTTTGTAGAAACGAGGTCTCACTATGCTGCCAAAGCTGATTTCAAACTCCTGGGATCAAGGGATTCTCTCACTTTCACCTCTCAAAGTGCTGGGGTTACAGGCATGAGCTACCCTGCCCAGTGCTGGATATCATTTTTGCTAAGGGAGGGCACAGGCTTGTGAGTCCATGTCTTCTGCTCAAGTGTTAGCAACTTGTGTCCCTGGACATGAGTCATCTGCACACAGGAGAGACCTGGGCAAGAATCTCAAGAGCCCCATGGGGCTGGAACAGGGAAGGTGAGGCTGGGAGGTTTCCTCCTGCCCCAGTACGGGTTCCAAAGCTCTTCTGTGCCTCACACACAGGCTGGTGAGTACGTGGGATATTCTGCAGAGAGTCAGGGAAAGGGAGTCACCCAGATGGATGTCATTGGTGTGGGACAGGGACCCCCATGGCTCACTGTGAAGATGCCCCTGTTCGAGGCAAACCCCTGCCCCGACCCAAGAATAAACCATATCCCTGTTGCCCTGCAGTGCCCTGACCACACCTCCAGAGTGAGAGTGACCTCTAATCTCTGATCCTTAACTAACCCCAGACACATGCTGGTCCCCCATACCCCTTCCCAACGATCTCTGGGAAGGCAGGGTGGGACTTGCTGTCCCAGGCACCCTGAGCTGATGATGGTAAATCACGGGGAAGGGAGAAAAACAACCTCTGTGGGGCCCAGGACCTATTTTTAGGAGATAATCTCTCCACTGTTGGCAGATTCTGTGGGCTAGGGGCCAAGCCCAGCTAAGAGAGACGGGGCGGGAAACCCAGCTGAGACTCAGTCAGGATCCTTGGCCCAGGGGATGGACTCTGAAGCTGGCTCCCATTGTGCTGGGCTCAGGTACCCCCACTGGAGGCTCTGATGACCACCTTAGCCCAGGCAGGGCTTTCCTGCCACTCTCCCAGGGTCCTCTTCTCAGACTACACCCTGTCAGACGTTTTCAGAGTACAAAGTTATTTGAAAGTAACATCTCATCTAATCTTCCAAGCAACTACAGGGGCAGAGTATTGGCCCCATTTTCCAAGAGACTTTTTTTTAAGAGACAGTATCTTAATCTGTCACCCAGGCTGGAGTGCAGTGGCATGATCATGAGCTCCTGAGTTTAGGCAATCCTTCCACTTCAGCCTCCTGAGTAGCTAGAACTGTAGATGCACTACCATGGTTGGCTAATTTTTTTGCTTGTTTGTTTGTTTGTTTTGAGTTGGAGTCTCACTCGATCGCCCAGACTGGAGTGCCGTGGCGGCTCCCGGCCACCGCAGCCTCGCCTGCTGGGCTCTGG